CTTCTCTTAATTCCTTAATTTTTTCATCTATTTCATCTCTTATTTTTTCCAGTCTTTCAATTTCATCATATTCATCATCTTTAATCCGTTCTTCATAATATTCAGGGAAAACATCAGGTTCTTTAGGTTTTTCTTCTTCAGATGTGGGATATAAGAAATTTATAACATCATCTTTATTCATTTTTCCATCATAATCTAAATCATTTAATAACTCCGCGAATTTTTGACAATTTCTTAAATAATATTTATCAACTTCATAACCCGCCTCCTCTAATATATCCTTTATTTCCTCGTTTGTGAATCCCAATTTTTTAACGTCGTTAGTCTTGACACTCATTTTCATACGAATTAAAAAAATAAATTATTCAAAAAATGTAAGACATGAATTTTTAAAGTTTATTTTTTTATTTTTTTTTATTTCATTATGTATGGGTTTAGTGAAAATTTCTTACGATTCTGAAAATTTTTAAATCTTGATTTATTCAAAAACGTAAGAATAAAAACCGTAAAAATCATACATTTTTTACTTCATATGTAAAAAAAAATGATACAAAATCGCTCAAAAATGTATGAATTCTTACGTTTACAAAAAAAGTCACAAAACCCTTCAACATATACTACTTTAATATAATTTTTTCAAAAAAATTGTTTTATTTAAAATAAACAAATTTTATCAAATAACTAGTATTTTTAAATTATCTTTTGAAAAATTGAAAAATTTACAAATTAAAAAATGGAAGACATCTTGGTTCGTCTCGAAAACCCAGAAGATCTTAAAACTTTTCAACTCCCAACCGTTCCCGCCGATCAGGTTCTCAACGTAATTGAAGAAAAATATCAAGAATACATTAATAATCCAAATGTAACTCTCGAAGATACGGCAAAAACACTTTCAATAGGAAAAGAACGTTTGAAAAAAATTTTCGTACTACTCGGCTATCCAATAAAAGAAAGAGGAAGACCAAAGAAAAAAATTTTTGAGGAAGATGTATACAAAATTTTGGAAATTAAAGCACAATATGACATTGGATACAAAAGGATCAAAGAATCATATTTCGAAAAAGTCGAAAGATTTACATTCAACGATGCTTTCAAAATTTTCAATCAAACAACATTTGTTTACATTTCACAGGCATCAGAAAATCGACGAACATCCACATGAATACGTTGCTCAATATGTTAATCAATTGTGGCATACTGATTTGAAATTTCTGAAGGACGATAACGGTAACATTCAATATTTAATTTCATTTCTTGATGACAGAAGCAGATACATTATTTGCTGGATGTTTTCGATACAAAAGAAATGAAAAATACTGCCAGAGTATTTCGTCACGCAATTGATTTAGTCAAATTAGTTCCACATGGAATTCTCACAGATAATGGAACAGAATTCATTGGAAAAGATTTTGAAGCGGTTTGCCAAGAATTCAATATAAAACATTTCAAAACTCATCCGTACTCTCCAGAGGAAAATGGAAAAATTGAAAGGAGTTGGGAGACTCTTTTCAAGACAAACCCTGGAGTGAACGTCTTTGAGTTCATCCCCAATGTTGTTTCCCAGTATAATAGGGTATGGAAACACTCCGCATTATTCAAACTCTTTGGGGAGAAATTGACTCCATTTGAGGCCTGGGAAAGAGGCCCCAAATGGACAAAAGATCTCTGCGCTGAACCAGGCTTCGAAAAAAATCTTAGAGATTAACAAATAATTTCAAAAACAAGAAAATTCAAAAAATCACAAAAAGGAAGTTAAGGAATAAACACTTACATTTATTACATTTGGATTTTTTTAAAAAATTCAGTATTATTTTTAGAAATAAGATAATATAGTTCTAAATAAAACAAAGAATGTTAAGAATGAAGAAGGAATTAGCGGATGCAGCCGAAGCACGCTCACAAATTACTCTCAATATCCACTCAAATCATACAAAGTTTTGTCGAATAGTTTGATATAAAGACAAAAAATTTACAATTTTTAATTAAATCCGAACAATCTTACATATGCAGCCGAAGCACACTCACAAATTACTCTCAATATCCACTCAAATCATACAAAGTTTTGTCGAATAGTTTGATATAAAGACAAAAAATTTACAATTTTTAATTAAATCCGAACAATCTTACATATGCAGCCGAAGCACACTCACAAATTACTCTCAATATCCACTCAAATCATACAAAGTTTTGTCGAATAGTTTGATATAAAGACAAAAAATTTACAATTTTTAATTAAATCCGAACAATCTTACATATGCAGCCGAAGCACACTCACAAATTACTCTCAATATCCACTCAAATCATACAAAGTTTTGTCGAATAGTTTGATATAAAGACAAAAAATTTACAATTTTTAATTAAATCCGAACAATCTTACATATGCAGCCGAAGCACACTCACAAATTACTCTCAATATCCACTCAAATCATACAAAGTTTTGTCGAATAGTTTGATATAAAGACAAAAAATTTACAATTTTTAATTAAATCCGAACAATCTTACATATGCAGCCGAAGCACACTCACAAATTACTCTCAATATCCACTCAAATCATACAAAGTTTTGTCGAATAGTTTGATATAAAGACAAAAAATTTACAATTTTTAATTAAATCCGAACAATCTTACATATGCAGCCGAAGCACACTCACAAATTACTCTCAATATCCACTCAAATCATACAAAGTTTTGTCGAATAGTTTGATATAAAGACAAAAAATTTACAATTTTTAATTAAATCCGAACAATCTTACATATGCAGCCGAAGCACACTCACAAATTACTCTCAATATCCACTCAAATCATACAAAGTTTTGTCGAATAGTTTGATATAAAGACAAAAAATTTACAATTTTAATTAAATCCGAACAATCTTACATATGCAGCCGAAGCACACTCACAAATTACTCTCAATATCCACTCAAATCATACAAAGTTTTGTCGAATAGTTTGATATAAAGACAAAAAATTTACAATTTTTAATTAAATCCGAACAATCTTACATATGCAGCCGAAGCACACTCACAAATTACTCTCAATATCCACTCAAATCATACAAAGTTTTGTCGAATAGTTTGATATAAAGACAAAAAATTTACAATTTTTAATTAAATCCGAACAATCTTACATATGCAGCCGAAGCACACTCACAAATTACTCTCAATATCCACTCAAATCATACAAAGTTTTGTCGAATAGTTTGATATAAAGACAAAAAATTTACAATTTTTAATTAAATCCGAACAATCTTACATATGCAGCCGAAGCACGCTCACAAATTACTCTCAATATCCACTCAAATCATACAAAGTTTTGTCGAATAGTTTGATATAAAGACAAAAAATTTACAATTTTTAATTAAATCCGAACAATCTTACATATGCAGCCGAAGCACACTCACAAATTACTCTCAATCCACTCAAATCATACAAAGTTTTGTCGAATAGTTTGATATAAAGACAAAAAATTTACAATTTTTAATTAAATCCGAACAATCTTACATATGCAGCCGAAGCACACTCACAAATTACTCTCAATATCCACTCAAATCATACAAAGTTTTGTCGAATAGTTTGATATAAAGACAAAAAATTTACAATTTTTAATTAAATCCGAACAATCTTACATATGCAGCCGAAGCACACTCACAAATTACTCTCAATATCCACTCAAATCATACAAAGTTTTATATTTTCATTTTATTGTTTGTTAATAAAGAATTTACTTTAATATTCTTAATTGTTTTCTTTTTTATATTTAATTTTTGATATCTATTTTAAAAAACTTATACAAATTCGATTCAGCTAATAATTTAATTGAAAAAATAAAAAGAAAACATATAATTTTTAATCCGTCTAATTGAATAAGCAATATTATAAATATTATGTTAAACGGTTAATTTTTCTCAAAAAAATTATTTCGAATTTCCGAAATTTTTGACATTTTGGCTGAGAACTATGGTCTGCGAGGTACATAGATAGAATCAGTACCTCGCAGACTATAGTTCTCTATATGGCGCCGAAAATTTTTTGGTGAAATGTCGTCGCATTTCACCAAAAATTTTTCGGCGCCATAGGAAGAATTGGAGGGTGTGAGATACTATTACATGCTATAGTACTCACACCCTCCAATTCTTAGCCAAAATGGCTAAAAATTGGGTGCAATGTAAAAAATTGCACCCAATTTTTAGCCATTTTGGCTGAGAACTATGGTCTGCGAGGTACATAGATAGAATCAGTACCTCGCAGACTATAGTTCTCTATATGGCGCCGAAAATTTTTTGGTGAAATGTCGTCGCATTTCACCAAAATTTTTCGGCGCCATAGGAAGAATTGGAGGGTGTGAGATACTATTACATGCTATAGTACTCAATTTTCGGTATATTTTATACTTTGATATTCTAATATCTCTTCTTTTTTAATTTATAATCAAAATCCTTTTGATTTATTTTTTCAATACTGTTAAGGCAGTTTTATCACATCATCGTTTTTTTAATTTTATTTCTTCTATTGTTTGATCTCTCCATGTTTTTATTTTATTATTTTCAATTAATTATAAACAAATTATTCTTTCAAAATATTTTGCCACATCACATTTGAATTCATTATTTACCCATGTTTTTAATGCAATATGAATATTTGTTGTCTCAATCATGTCATGATATAGTTTCTTCAAACCTTACAGACAATTATTCGATATCAAATTTAATTGTTTTATTAATTATTTCGTTTCCTAACTTTTTCTAAGATAATTTAAATAGACACCATTCATATAAGTTGAATCACAAAAATTGACCACTCATATTTTAATATTATTTTGAATCTTATTTCGATTTCAGTTCAAATTCGATTTTATTGACATGTTTCATCACTGAATCGCTAAGTATTTGGAAATCTCTATTCAAATGCTCAATGCTCCATACATCAATTTGATTTGAATCTGAAATACCTACAATGAAAAGAACGATTATTTCGAATTCAATTTTACAAGAATAAAAAAAAAATGGAAGATAAAATCCTTCCAGAGGAAAGTTCTTCAGCGGTTCCAGAACAGCCACTAGAAATTCCTTCCAATACTAAGAAGAGAAATTGGCCAATTCTTGCTCTAATTATGTTGGCAATATTTTTATTATCAATTTTAATTGCAACTATCATTCTTATTGTTAGAAAGAGGAATGACAAGAAACCATCAGCGGAGTACTCTTTGAACTTTTTATATATAAATGATATTCATCTAGACGCAACTTACGTAGAAACATCAACATCGAAGTTAGGATGCCGCAGTGCTGTTGCAGATCAAGTCGAAAAATTCCAATTCGGGCAATATGAATGCGATGCTCCACATAAACTTTATAATTCTCTCATTGATAACGCAAAGAAGTTTATTGAATCGCCAGATTTCATACTTCTTGGTGGTGACTTAATTGCACATGGATTAAACGTTACAAAGCAAATGTTAATCGATAATTTTAATAATATTACAAATCCTATAGAAAAAAAGTATCCGAACACTAAAATCTATATAACATTAGGTAATAATGATTTCCAAAAGAATTATGGCTCATTTGATACAGATTTAACAGATTTTGAAACAGTATTTGAAATTTTCGGAAAATGGATGAATACAGAACAAGCAGAAACATTTAAGAAGGGCGGTTATTACTATGCAGACTTCCCATCATCTAATTTCAGATTTTTATTCCTAAATACAGTAATTTATTCCAGAAAACGCACTTTCAACGAAACATTGACTGATCCATACGACCAATTTGCATGGATAAGAAAGATGTATAAGGATGCTGTTCAAAAAGGCTACAAAGTTGGAATTGCTTTACATATTCCTCCAGGAGTTGTTTACACAGATAATAAAGTAGGTTGGAATCTCAAATATATCAATACTTTTGCAGAGATAATGAAAGAATGCGATTTTTCATTCATTATTTCCGGTCATTCTCATACAGACATGATTTTACCACTTTACACACCAAATAGTGATACAGACAACATCCTTTACTCATTAAGTGCACCATCAGTATCACCTACACATTATAATAACCCTGGATTCAGACATTATTTGTTGGATCAAGAAATCATTAAAGATTTCATACAATATTACGCTGACATCATGTTAAATCCATCAGAACTCAACTGGGAAATCGAATACAAGTTCTCAGAAGCATATAAAACACAAAATATCACAAGAAATTCAATAAATGACGCAGTGAAGTGGATCAGATCGACAGGAGAAGGCCAATGGAGATACAGAGAAAGAGTTTATTCAAGAGCTGACAAACACAACAGTTTCTATTACTGCACACTTCGCGCTTTGTTGCCTGATGATGTAACTAAGTGCGCAAAGCAAAATGGAGCTGAAGAACTTTCGTTCCAGCCTTATTATCATAGTAAGGATATGTAGAACTTTAAATTTTTTTTGTAAATTTTTATTAATTTTCGAAAATTATTTTTTTTACACGCAATTCTTACATCATTAATTTAAATAAGAATTTTGATAAACTGTATTAAGTTTGATACTTGATAATTATTAGATCATTTGTATTTTGATGAATGACTACTCTCCAATTCCATGCATGTATCAAGATATATCATGTTGTATTAAAAGATCATGCATTTTGATATGATTCCTGGACTTTTCTGTCATCTTACTTTCCAAAAATTCCTGAAAAAAATATTTATCTAATGTTGACATGAGAGTAGAAGAAATTTTGGCTAAATATCAATACGAATTATCGATACCTGATATAATTATTGAAAACATTATTTGCAATGCTTGGAAAATTCCGATTCAATCATTTGTAATTTGTGTTTCAAGTAAAGCAAGCAATGTTGTATTTTTTTAAATTTCTGATTGGGAAAACAAATAAAATGCTAATTGAGAACACATGAATCGCAACCAATAAAGTATACATTTAATGCTAAGGAACAATAAGATCATTAACTATTCCCGATTTTACAATTACTGTATTTTTTAAATCAATGTTTGTAGGGTTGTTAAAAATATCAAAAATTAGCGTTTTGAAGACACCATGGTGTCTTATAATTTTCCCTTCCTTATTGGCGTGTAGAAATAAATGCGCCAATAGATTGAAGAAGAAGAATTGTTTTTCTCTTAATGAACTTTAATCCTTTTGATATAAGAATATTAAAAACATTAATATAATTTCGATTTCGGAAATTAAATTTCCAAATTTTTTGTCGATTTCGGAAATAACAGGATCCCGCATCCAACACGCAACAACAAAACACAAAACACAAAACACACTTTTTGGTTCTTTCATCGTTTTAATCGTAATTTATGTAATACATGATTTGGATAAATTTTACAAAAATAGAACCTATATTAAAAAAAAAAAAAAAAAAAAAAAAAGGAAGTGGGGCTTCCAGGCACTTCGTGCCTTCTAGCCCTGATGATGTTTAGTATAAATGAAGTTTTTATTCGGAAAATTGTTAGTCTTCTGGTGTGAATTCGGAGGACTCTTCTTCTTCCTCTATTGCTTCTGGGAAGAAGCCTTCTTCTGGGTCGAAAACATTATATAATGTTTCACTTTTCACAAATTATATATGTTTTCATGTTTTGTCACTTTTCTGTCACTTTTCAGGAAAAAACATTTTTATTATTATATATAAATGAATTTTACAAAACCTCCGTTACCGTTCTTTGGAAATAAGAGTAGATGTAAAGATATTATATTGAGAGAACTTAAGAAACTACCGAATGGTCTAACATTTGTAGATTTGTTCGGTGGAAGTTTCTATATATCCCATTTGTGCCATATAATATTTCCAGACTCAAAGATTATATGCAATGACTTCGACAACTATATGGACCGTCTCAAACATATTCCAGACACAAACAAAATATTGAAAGAGTTAAAAGAAAAGATACCTATAGGTAAGATGGAACGTATACCATTAGATAAGAAAAATATTGTGAGAGAGGTTTTGAAAAAAGCAGAATATATAGACTGGGATAGTATATCTGCTAGACTATTATATAGTGGTGCTATAAGAGTTCATGACATTGAAACACTTATGTCAAAAGTTTTATATCTTAACTATACAAATGTTTTCAAAGAGGACATAGAAAAATATATTGAGGGTATAGAGTTTGTGAGATGTCATTGGACAGATTTGTATGAAAAAATAAAGACAAGGAAAATGTTTTCTTTATAGTGGACCCGCCGTTCTATAACACATGGGATTTTCAATACCAAGTAGACTGGACTTTGAGAGACTCTTTAGAAACTTTAGACGTTTTACATAACCATCCATGCTTTTACTTTACATCCGATAAAAGTGGTTTGGAAACCGTTATGAGATGGTTAGAGGACATACATGACTATGAGTTTTATATGACAAGATAGAATATGAGAGAGGTCCTATAAACTGGAGAAAGTGTCATAACAAAGAAATTTTATTAGTAAGTAAATGTGGTTTGAAATAGGACTACTTGTTTTAGGTTTTTTCCATTGTGTCATTTATTTCTTTGACGTGGCAGAAAAGTACAGAGAATATGAAGATGAACCAATGCCTGCAAATGTTCAGTATATGTACTCGTAAGAGATATTTTTATCTAATATTAAATGGACGCACAGAACTTAGCGAATGCACAGCAACCTGGACAACCAAACCCAGAGAATATTCCAAATGAAGTTAGAATACAAACTGCAATGGCAAACTATGGTCAAGTGCCAACAGATGTACAAATGCAAACTGCCATGTCAAATGACGCTGCGTTAGGTTTGCCACCATGGTATGCAAATATGAAGATGGAAAGAGTTTTATACAAACCCTGAAGTGGGATATAAACAACTTTATGCAGATGACGCGAACACAGGAGTTGACCCAGAATATGTTTTCTACCAGAGAAGAAACAGAATGTATGAGCTCCAGTTAAAGAATGCTATGGAACTCAACAGGAAACGTAAGAGACTAGGCGGACATTAGATTTTTACATATAGTAAATGGGTTTCTTCAGTAAGATAGGAAACTTCTTTCGAAATGTTGGAAGAGGTATATGGAATGGAATAAAAACCGTAGGAAGAGGAATTTGGAACGGAGTCAAAAATATTGGTAAAAGGGTAGGTCAGTTTGTTGGTATTATACCTAAAGACCCTGAACCAGAAGAACAAGCTCCTGTTATACAACAGCCTGAACCTGCACCACAGTCTAGTTGGCAACCAAATCCAACACCTCAACCGTATTAAAAAATTATATTTTTACCGTTCGATAGTAGTTGTATATGAAACTAAGTTCTAAGTAAAACGCATGGTATAATGGAATTATTCTTTTTCTTCCATCTGTAGTAAACCATACTTGAAAGTCTGAAATACTTCCACTTGGTGGTTCGTATAACTTTGTAGGTTTTTCGTAAAAGTCATTTGCCAAGCATAAGAAAGAGTTTTGGGCGCCAGAAAATGAAGCATGAACAATAATAGCAGCTGGTCGAAAACATCTTTAAATAAATATGGTTCATCTCTTGCATATCGACTGTAAATATTTGCTAAAGGAAGTTCGACTTTCTGATTTAACATTCTTTGCAAATAATACCATGACATTGCAGTGAATTCTGTATATATTTGTTCGTCTTTCTTTGGATTGTCTTCGTAGATTTGAAATGACACTTGTGAATTTTGTTTGTCATATACAATTCTCACATAAAGTGTGCTCTCGGTATTTGCATATTCATCAGCATATTTTGCATAACATGAATTTATTTTATCTTCTATATTTTTTAACGCAGTCTGTAGAGAAGATGAAAGGTCAACTTGTATTAGCTCAATTTCTTCCCACATTTTTCGTTTCCCTTCAGATATATAATCTATATGAAACCTTACAATAAATGGAAAACTTTTATCTTCTACAGACACAAACTTCATTCTACGAAAGCCAATAGCTTTTGTGACAGATGGGTCTCTTAACCATCTTAATGGGTAGTCAAAACGATAGCCTTCATGCTTTACGGTCTCTGTCTCAAACTTTTGACCGACATTAGTAAAAAGTTCATCTAATGGTTTAGTTGTAGCAACTCTTGAATTTTCTTTTTCTATTGGAAGCATATTTTATCTAGAATAAAAATGTCAAATGAAACAGCGTCTATGAGAGAAATACAACACAACCGACAACTCATTATACAAGCTCTAAATAAGAACACAACAAACTTTTCAAACTATTCTAAGATATCTGAGTCATTGAAAGAAGGAAACTTAAAACTGACATTAAACCCAATGACAGATGAGTTTCTGTTTCAAGACAATAAGAACCATACTGTCTGTATAAATCCAACAAAAGGAACTTTAAACGAGAAACCTATATCTGAACTTCTTTTGAAAGCAGATATTGACAACAAAGCTGACAAAGAATATGTCATTGAAAAAGTTCAAGAAGAACATGACAGAGCAGATGCAACATATGCAACGAAAGAACATACTCATCCTGAACTAGCAGACAAAACATATGTTGACAATAAAATGTCAAGTGAAGTGACAAGAGCTGAAAACGAATATTCTAAAAAAGACTCATACACATTCTATATCTGAAATAAACAACTTACAAGAAACCTTAAACAGTAAAAGTGCCGTTGGACATACACATACCATTGCAAATATTACAAACTTACAAGAAACCTTAAACAGTAAAAGTGACGTTGGACATACACATACCATTGCAAATATTACAAACTTACAAGAAACCTTAAACAGGAAAAGTGACGTTGGACATACACATACATCTTCTGAAATAACAGACTTAAACGTTAGCCTTGAAAAGAAAGCAGATAAAACATATGTCAATGAAATATACCAAAGTTTGATAGGAACAACGAAAAATATTGAAACTATTGTTGGTGACTTTTCTGTCAATGAAGAAAACAAATATTTTAGATGGGAGTTTGTACACTCCTTAAAAAATGGTATACGGTATAAACTCATTCCGAAAAATAACAATGAAATGTATGTAGGCTATATAAAGAATGATGGTACACAAGTTAAAGTTCCATTAGACAACAACTGCTACTTAAACTTATATGGAGACGAACAAAAGAAATATTTAAGAGTTTATGAAATGACAGATATGACATTACCTAACCCAGCTCCAGCACCATATTATTATGACTATGGTGTTGACGCACATGTAGACCCAAAAAAGCAAACATTATATTTAGAATATTATAGATATAAAAGATATAATGCAATAAAAAAACGAGAATAGTATACTATTATGAAGATGACAGAAATAAATATTATAGTCAAGATTTTACCTACCCTGAAAACATAAGATTATATTATAAAAAATATTCTGACACAAACCAGAAGAAACCTGAAATAGTTGCACTATATTTTAAGTTCAAAAGAGACAATCCTATAATATCTCATATGTTTGATTTAATGAACCCAGTAGGTTCTATTTATACATCTATGGAAGCAAGAGGTCCTCAAGTAATGTTTGGTGTTGGTGCATGGGAACAAATAGTCGACAGGTTTTTGTATTGTGCAAACTCTTCAAAGGAAACAGGTGGAAGTAAAACGATTTCAGGTGAAAATTTACCTGCACACAGTCACTACATAGATTTAAGTACATCTCAAGCAGGTTGGCATAAGCATAGATATTGGGATTGGTCAGGAATGACAAAAGGTCAAGGATATGATGTTAAAGACGACGTTAAGTTTGCTATAAATTGTTACTGGGATGACACTCAGGGAGAAGGAAACCATACACATTTCGTTTCAGGATATACGCAAACAACGGGACAAAGTAAAGAATATATGCCACCTTACATGACAGTTTACGCATGGTATAGAATTGCTTAGTCGTCATTTTCAACTTCTTTAGCATATTGGTCAGGAGTTGTCTTATATTTGTTAGGAACTGTCTTTTGAAAGTATACCACCTTGAACTTTGACAAGTTTGAAACGAGGTCTGACAATAGTAGTTTTATCTTCTGCTTGCAGTGTGTACATTTTGCCATGTTTGCCTAAAACTTCATAATATTCTTTGTATACTTTCTTCTATTTTTACGAACACGAATGTGAGTACCTGTCGAGTTCCCATTGTTGTCATAGTCAATAGTATTTTCATATGGGTCGCGTTTAGGTATTTCTATTTTTACTTTGTCACCTTTCTGAAGTTTGAAGCCCGGCATTCTTTCTTGTTTGTCTCTTTTGACTAAACTATTAAATATATAGTCTTTCTCTAAGTCGGGGTTGTTTTTCATTTCTTCAGGGGAGTGGTTTCCCAAACCTTTTTGTTTACGGTTATTGTAAATATTTAAAACTTGTCTCATCTTTGCCATGGAGAAATGTCTATATTTGTCGTCATATGACATTTCATTTGCTTCACCACCTTGTGGTTGGTTTAAGTCTCTTAAGATTTTTATACAACTGTCAATGACACCAAGAGCAGAATGGTTTTGGTCGACAATGAAATATTGGTTTACATTTTTTGAACGCAGATAGTTTTTAATATCGTCTGATTTGAAAGAACTTTCACAGTCAGACGATAGTTTTGTTGGATGGTATTTGTCAACGAATATTGTCAAAGCAGTTTTCACATCTAAAATATTTTTGGACTGTAATGGTATGGCTTCACAGTATCTTGTGTTTTGACCAACAAATATTAGCCAGTATGGTGGTCCATCTTCTCTATACCTCGGAATGTTTTCCAAGATATCCATAAACCAAGCATTTGGTGTTGAACTAAAGATTTTTACCATGAGTGCTTTCTTTGTCGCTTTAGAAACATACGGGTCCTTGTTTGAATTCGTCATTTTTTACCCTATAAGAAATGGGTTTATTTGGCGCATTAGCAGGAGTCGCATCCAGATTTTTGCCCGCAGTGGGAACAATAGCCAGAGGTGCGTTTGGAATTGGAAGGAAGATTTTGAGTACATTAGGTATACTGAAAGAAAGCACAACCTATTATACAAACTGTACAGAAGGTTGGGATGTAGCACGAGATGCAGCAAATCTTATTCCAAATCCTGAAACAGAGGAAAAGTTCAAGGATGGATGGACAATGTAGGAAGAGAAGCAGGAAACTACTATAACAAAGCAAATGACTACTATAACCAAGCAGGGCACTATATGGACCAAGGTGAAAGATTCTTTAACAGAGGATATAACCATGCACAACAATGGGTAAACATATACCAACCTCAACCGCCCAAACGTGAGGGAATGTAAAGTTTTTTACTGAGATGAAATGAACAATACAGCATTGAGACAAATGGCTCTCAGATGGATTTGTCGGCTTCCAGCAGTTACACAACACGTGTTTGTCTCAAGTTCTTCCTATACCTCAGGAAGTTTTAGACCGACTTAAAAAACAACAACAACCAGTTGAAAACAAACCAAACTAAAATTTTTTACTGAGATGAAATGACCGAAGAAGTTGAAACGGTAGATTTGACACCACAAACAAAAAGTTCAGAACCATTGTCAAAACCTGTCAAAGAACTTACAGATGAAGAGAAAAATTCAATAATAGAAAGTGCCAGGTCTGGAAATACAAACCCTAACTATAAAGTCACTTTTCATAGAAATGGAACGGCTAGTATCTCAAAAAAGAAACAGACTCTCACAAATAAAATATTGAAGTCTGAAGGAGCTTTCGAGACAACAGATGGGAAGGTATACTTCACTGACCAACAGTTCATTATAGAACATCTCATTGACTTAGAGTCGAAATATTCTAAACTTTACAACAAACACAAAAAGTTGAAAGGAAAACAAAAACAAATGGCATATGATATTTATGAAGATGTTAACGACACAACCATACCTGCAAGTGAGGTAAAGTCAGAGGAACCGAAAAGTGACGAAAAACCGATAGAAGAAGGGAAGCCAAAAACTGAAGATAAACCAAAACCAAAGTTTAGTCAACCTTCATTAGCTGGTATGGGTTGGCGTCAAAGGCTTCTGGTAGCAGGCGGTTATGTAAAGTAAAGAAAAAAATATTTTTTTTATTTTTATAAAAATGCCCCCGCATAGAATGGATAGAAGGTCTGCTAGAATAAAAGCAGAGTTAGAAAGATATGGCTGGAGAGTTTCAAAGAATTTTAAATATAGGAAGGGAAGACCCATAAAAGTTTATGACAAACTGGCTGGTCTGACCTACGAAATGGACTTGGAAACAGCGCGCACAAATTATCCAAACAGACTAGAGAGGTTAGAAGAAGAACGTCTTATGGACATGCCTTTCGATGTTAGTGAACCTCAAGTTGAAGGACACGACGGCTTTGCCAGATTCTACTGGAAACATGACGAACAATTGCATCCTTTGAGAAGGAAAAAAGGTAGTGCAGAGGATGGTCATGCTCCCATGGAAAGAACAAGATATGCATATGAAAAGTATCGTGAAGTTAGAAGTAAAATTGGTTCAGGTCAAACCTTTACAGTAAACTTTGACGATGGAAAGAACAAAGAAGGCTTTATGGGTGTACTTGCTGCTATACAAGACGGAAATAAGAAAGGATACAACTCAGACTAACCATAACAGATTTGGATGGTCACATTTACTATGCACATGGCAATGAACAAACAGCCGCACAACTTCTCGACGCTTTCAAGACTACAAAGGAGAACAAATGTTTGACTCCGACTCAGACATTTTGAACGCAATTGAAGGAATTGCAAGTGTCAAGTTCGAATGGTACCAACCTAACCCTCAAGCAGTCAGACAACATGCTGGATACTTCCGTTCATAAATAAGTCTGACATTGACTTGACAAGGTATGGAATTTACAATTCAATTGAAACAATTGTCAATGAACCTTGTATTCTTACATGTCTCAGGAACTCTGGTCTTGTTACAGATGAGAAGATGAAGTATCTTGAGTCATGTGTGAAGACAAGGTACATTCTCAGAGGTCAATGGCAAAAAATTGCACCGTTGGCAAATGTCAATATCCGAGTCAGCATACCTACAGCTAAAGGTTCTTCACATGACGACTATGTTGTTGACAAAGACTTACCATGGTTGAAGATTGTAATTGTCCACAACCACTTCATGTTGAACGAAAGTCTTACAAACCCATTGTTCGGAAAAGGCAAGTGCAACATTG